GATTTGACTGAAAACCTGTCTAGAACATATCTGAGTCATATTTCATACAGATAACAAAAGAAATGAGCAACAAATTGTATTTTGCCGGAAGAAAATTAAGCCTGTTTTTAGGTCTATTAAGATTTTGGTAACACTTCACAATACGGTTTCATTTGTTAACGTTAGTTACCTACATTAGTTAACATGAACTAACAGTAAATAAAGCATCTACACAGCATTTATTAATCATAGTTAATATTAATATCAGCATTTATTAATACATTTTAAGATCAAAAGTCGTGTTAACATTAGTTAATTAACAAAGGTTAATAAATGTTATAAAAATATATTGTTCGTGTTAGTTAACTCATTAACTAATGTTTACAAATGAGACCTTATTATAAAGAGTTACCAAGATTCTTTGGCATTGTGACATTAAACTTTGTATTTTTCATTCAACTTAACTCTTTCTGTAAAAAAAGGGACCTAGAAATAATCATTTTCTTATATATTTGATCTAAAATTAAAATAATAATAATAATAATAACACACATATGTTATTATTTTGTACATATGTAAATTATTATTTTTATTATTATATAACAGCACGAAAACAGTCATGACTCATGTTTGTTCTGTCTTTAATTCTGTGGCTTTAGAATATAGTCGTTCTTAAAGTGGTCATAGTCTTTAACACTTATCAGTCGTCTTTTTTTAGTGCAGATGAGCTCTTCATGTGGCAGAATCGCTCTTTGAGGTCAAAAGAGTATGACAGAGTGCTAAAATCACACTGTGATTCTGTGAAGTTCATGTCCAGTTAGACTTTACAGATAGAGCAGTACGAGATGACGGGGGAAAGAGTGCTAAAAACATCTTAAACATTGGCCACAAGTTTTGAATCTGTATGTTAGTGTCTAGCAGCAGGCAAAATTAACTTTATGTAAGAAAATGAAATGGGAAAATGTAGAATTTAACATTGTGTTTTTATTTATGCACTCGTGGTGCAGAAATGTCAGACTTCAGCTTTAAATGAACCGTTGTATTTTTGATTTCGGCCTCAGTACACACATTTGTCTGATTTGGCTTGCACACATGCACTGGCATGTTGAGGTGCGGTGCATACGGGCATTGTGTGTTGAATCCAGACATTTTGTAATCCTTCCCCTGCAATCATTTTCTGTCGTACCTCTACTGTAAACAGAAACGGCAAACTGTTTTTAAGCTGACATGCAGTTCAGGTGTGTTTTTCAGGTAGCTAAAAACACACGCGTCACCTGATGATAAGCTGATGATTTGAGCATGTTGTTGGGATGGTTATGGTGTTTTTTCCTGTAGTAAGCAACTCCTGGAATCTGTAAAATCAGTGTAGCCAGCAGTCTGCATGGAGAGAGGAAGAATACTATAAATTACTTCATACATATTAAAAACATAATTTTAAGACTCGCACTAAAGCTTTTAAACTATTTTTATTTATTATATACTTTATATAAATATTGGCTTTATTGTTTTTCAAATATTGCTGAAATAATACAATAATAAGTTAATAAGCATAAAAATACACAGCTCACATTTATTGGGTCAAACAGAGCATATTAAGTAATAAAAAAATGTAAATGTAATGTATAAAATTATAAAAATGCAAAACAATTATTAATAATAATAATTGCTAAATATATTAAATATATTGAAATAATATGTATATACTATACACACGCGCACACACACACACACACACACACATATATATATATATATA